CTTCCCAAGTACGTAGGGAATAAACTAAAGTGGCCTTCACTAAAGGTCCTCTCAAGAGCCAGTGTTTAGTTTATCTTTTCTGGACTATTGTAAATGTGAAATCTGTAACATTTCACATGTTGGGACAGTATTACTGAACTGGTTGACTCAGAAGTGAAAACACAAACAAAAACAGATTTGTTTTTGACAGCTGCATCGCTGTCACTACTATGAGTGTAGTGTGATGCTCCACTTTCATCAAAGAATCAGAATTTGAGAAAACTGGAGGCTGCAAAATAAAACTGAGGAAACAATTATACAGAGCTCCACATTCCCCATGGTCTAACATTGAAAAATAAAAGTAAAATGGAATATGTTTAATAAGGTGGGTTGGGAGTTGTCGAAGGCAGATATGACAAGATCATCTTTGTTTCTTCAAGCACCTGTAACTATGACAGTCAAGAGACACATGATCAACAAAACCGACAGAAAGTATATTTCCCTCCAACCATCCGTATTCTAAAGCTATTTATCCTTTGTCCCATCCCAGCAGGAACTGGGTCAGGGGCAAGGACCCCCATAAAACTCAGAGTGCTAAAACAAAACCTTTATATTGGATTAATTTAGATAGAATGGCACTCATTGAAGCAGATACCTCCACCAAGGCTCAACGGTCCCCTTAAATTCAATCAAGCTGCACCAAAATTCCACACACTCAGACATCTGTTCCCTAACAATGCAATATTTTTTTCATCAAGATCCCTGAATTGTTCCCAGGGAAAAGGTGAAAATGTTGAAAAACGGACCACTGCGCTGTAGATCGTAGGGGAAAGATGACTTTATAAGATACACCAGTCATATTCAGAAAATAAATGCAAACCTCTCAAGATTTTCTGATTAGATTGGGATAAACTGTCTTACATGTACATTTGTATATGATTAATGTGGGTTTTCAATGAACCCAGTTCTTATGTTGCATACATACACATAAGTAAAATGCAAATTCCACATACTGACTCCCCATAACAGCAAAATCAATTTCCTATCCGGGTCTGCATTCTGCTGTGAGGCGACACTGCTTACGGCCGAGGGTCCTCTCTGTGTCTTGGAGCTGAGTGCTCTCAGGCTGTGACACTGTGTCCTTGTTTGGTTATTTTCGAAGCTTTTCTGCTCTATTACATATTTCACGCTTGAAAATGAGTGAAAAGCTGAAAGTGAGTGTGCATAATATGCAACCAAGGTCACGACCCAGATAATCCAATGGCATGCTGGACAAGTTTATCTCTTCTCCTTCACCCAAGGTTTACTCTGCTGGTCATTTCTGGTGCTTTTTTATTTTTTTTATTTATTTTTAAAGTTATCACAATCGTGTCTCTTTTGTTCAGATTGAGTCATGAGCCTTCTCATCTCCTCACATCCCTCGGATCCACCCTTTAATCACTCACTGCCTCCCCTGCTGTCCACCGAGGGCGCACCAATAAATACTACCCTGCTCTGCCCTGCACATCATGACACATTTCCCCACATCCACACAGATGCACCAACATATTCTGCCAGAAAAAATATTTTAATGGAGAGCATTTCTGGACTGAAGCTCCCAACAGCCAATCAATTGTTCCAAAACCTCTGTTTCCATTTCAATGTCAGAACATTCCAAACAGAACCCTGTAGCCGTCAGTCCTCTCATCTTAAGGTCATAATATTAATAATTAAGTTTATTTATACAGCACTTTTCTTAACAATGTCACAAAGTATTGTACAAGAAGAAATAAAAACAGACAGGCAAATAAAATGAGAATAAGACAAACGGCCATGAGCAGAGGAAAATACAACGATAAAAGAGATGAGATCATAAATAGGATTAGTTAGTGTAAATAAAAGTCAATGTCATCTGTAAAAGCTTTTCCGAAAAGAAAAGTTTTAAGGATGGATTTAAAAGAAAGTAGAGACTTTAGCCAGTTTCATAACATGGGGACTTTAATGGCAAAAGACCTGTCACTCTTTGTTATTAAGCGAAACCTGGTAAGTTACCAGCAGGGCTGAAGGTCGTATAAAAAGACTGTAAACATATATGCAGCAGCCAGTAATTATTTTATCTGTAAAGATAAAGTGGAGTAATGGTGGCGAGAGCAGAGAGACAAGTTACTCTCTCTCTGTGTTGTGATCCGAGCGACTCTATTACTTGGTGTGAAAGATGGTGTGGGTGTGCTGATATGTTAGAGCATGTGTGCCCTCAGGACATTTATGAAGTGAGATGACTAATTCTTATCATCAGTGATGTAAATGTTTAAACTCGTGGGTGGACATGCTTATTTTTGTCGTTTTCTGTGCTGTGACGTGTAGCTGTATTGTTATTTGTCTCACCTGCACACAGGGTAACTTTGTTCAGTTGTGCTTCTGGTTGTGTGTTCAGCACTTATATACTGTATATTCAACTTTATAATCTTTATAATACACAATGTATTAACTAACTGAAACCATGTCTGGATTATTTGTTTTTATCTTCCCCAGATTCCTGCTTTTCCAAGACACTTCATTGAAACCAGAGTAATATCTATCCATTTCTTGCGATGCAGTATTTCATCATTTAATTATGTTCAAAGGTCACATTAAGAATCAATACAGGAGCTTCATATTGATGAACCTCTTGACATTGCAAAGCAGACAAGCAAGCTGTATCATGTCTGCCATGCCAGAGATCACCTGGACATTGTCCCATTAAGTATCACTGACAAAAAGTTGATAATGACTCCCACCTACACACAGGGCTGTCCCTACTGACGAAGAAGATTCAGAAATACTGCCACGCCATCATCGGCACACTGTCAGCTCATATTTTTTTATGAGCACAAGTTTGACTAATCATTACAATGACTAACCAGGTAGAACTTCCTAACTGAAACAATTCACTATTACAAAAGTGAAGTCACTTTGTAAAGCAGGTAACCTTTGTAAATACATTTTCCTCAGTTGAAGAAACTGTAAAGAAGTCAGAGCTTTATAGGCGATACGTCCTCTTCCCAGCAAGCCACCTGGCTACATTCATGAAAAATAGAGGCAGGAACATTGCTGCAGCTCCTGTCCAAAAACATGGATTGTTGCATCCAAACCACCTGAGTGCCAGTGAGGATGATTCACATCAAGATATTAAATCTGAAAATGTTCATTGCCGCGAGGCGGGTGGTGTCTATATTTCGCTTCCTCTCAGTGTTTATTTAACTTGAGTCATGTAATCATAGGCAGCTACACTGTTCTAACATGTTTGATTGGTTTTTAAAGAGTAAGTGACATACTGAGTGAATGACATCGTTCAAATGTACTGTAGACATTACGCATTTGACACCCAGGTACTTTTATACTTTAGGTTGAGGAAAGTCAAGGGAGTTCTCTCAAATCACAGACAAGGAGCCTCATCAGCTAAACATGATCAGTTACAGAGCTCACAGTATGTACGACCCCTTCTTTGCTGCCAGGACCCTCGATTTCTCTGCAGAGGGGGGTGAAACATTCCAGCTGTGTCTTGCCTGAAACAAGCAACAATCATCTATCCTCATCAAGATGGTCCGACATCAGACAACTCAGCTCTCTCAGCTCTCTCAGCTCTTATTAGCCTATTCATTCTCCTTTATTCTCGTCTGCCAGTCTCTGTATCTGCTGGATTCCCCACATTCATCACTCACAACTATCACCCATCTCTACACCGCACAGCAGGCCATAACCACCCGGCTCCCCAACCTATTTCCACACAGAATCCATTACATCTCCCCAGCCTCTCTTTTTCTTCATCCACCAATTCAATCCATCCAGTCATCCATCCAGCCAAATATTCACAGGCTGCCTGCCTCGTCCATTTGAGCTCATCATGGGGTATCACGGCCACTCGATCACTCTGAACCTGGGATTATCATCGAGGAGACACTTCGCCCATGTGAGTTTAAGCCCACAGAGGGAGAAGAAAAGCTGTAATGCATCGTTCAGCGGATGGTATATTTCTTTTTATTTTTCACACCTTAAGGCTGAACCAGCCCACACCCACTGTTGAGTTACATAAGTGCAATAACTTGAGGAGAGGAGGCTGGGGCAGTGAGGGGATATCAGTCGCTCTGGAGACTGGAGGAGGATAAGGCAGGAGATACCCACCGCGACATGCCTGCTTGGTTGGCTTCCCACGACTGGCTCAGTATCAGCCCACTATCAGCCTCGGGAGGGAAAGATGGGGAGGCAGCGATGGTGGCTCAGATAAGGAGGAGGAGGGCCGAGAGAATATGACCAGAGGCTGATTATGGGAAGCGACTGACAGAAGCAGAGGAACGAGGAAGAGATAGATGGTGGAAAGGTTAGGGGGAGAAAGGAGAGCTGAGAAATGTTCCGTCCCTCTGGCTATAGTCCTGACGGAGCCAGGATAGAGATGTCAGGCCACATCCTGTCTGCCGAGGGAAGGAGAACCGGGATCCAGCAGCAGACAATTAGACATCAAGCCACAGGCCCTTATCCCATCTTATTTCTGCCTCTCTCCTCTCTTCCTCTATTGTCTCCCTTTACCTCATCACCCCCACTGCTCTGAGAATCCCCAAAGCTATCAAATATCAGCACTTGATTCTCCGTTGTTCCACTAGCTTCCCGGATTCCGATCGAGTGTCCCTCCCTGGACGGCAGATGGGCAGAATATGGTGCCGACCTTGCAAGGTCACAGAGCTTGCTTTCATTTGCTGAAACCCTACACCTTCCATTTCCCTCTCTGTCTCTTTCCCCCCCTCTACTCCTGCCAAAGCACACCACTTGCTTTTACAGCAATTTCACCCAACTATCCTTACTTTTTACAAATCACAAACATTTTTACCCCTAATTGCTGCTGAAGGTGCTGTTTCTCTTTCGTTTCTCCTGGCACATGCAAAACTCCAAGGTGACCTTGAGGTCAGACAAAACAAATGAACCCATTGGAAGAACCAGACATAATTGCTTAACTTTGCAGTTGATAAGATTTTTTTTGTTAAACAACTAGAAAAAGCTTTTCAACTCACCATTTATCTCAGCATCTTTTCCACTCTCTTTCACGCTGGGTAAACAGTTTTCCAGGTAAACTCCATTGTGATAACAGCTATCCCCCTCACTGAGCTGTGGTGGTGGCTCCCAGCACAAACATGGGGTCTGCATGATGCCACAGGGCCTGTTAGATGTGCTGGAGGCCAGACAGTCCTCCAGCCACTGGCACAGCATCTGACAGGCTGCCATGCTGGGGTTGCGCTTGCCCACTACCAGGTATTCTGTTTTGAAATCCTCATCACCAGTAGAAATGGCTGTGGCCACCTTCAGAGGTCCCTTCCTCATTTGGAGGAACTGCTTTCCAGCCTCCAGGAAGGCCACTGGGGCAGAGGAATCACAAAGCTTTACCACCTCGTCAAAGCTCTCCATGCCCAGGTAGGTGCGTGTGGTTTCTAGGAATGAGTCGTACTGGAAGGTGCGTAGCTGTGATGGCACGCAGACCTCTGTAGGTTTGGTCACCTTAATGAAGATTGTGTAGCGCCTTGGATCAGGGTTCTGCAGGGTCCAGGAGCAAGGCATGCTGGGGAACACTGACGATGACAGGAAGAAACCGAAGAAACGGTTCTGGACCAAGGTGGAACATGAGTCTGACTCTGGGCCAGAGGGAGCTGCATGACACCAACCATCCATCAGCAACAGAGGGGTAAAATACAAGAGTATCACTGGTAGAGGCCATCTTGCTTGGCCACAAATCTGAGAGAGAATTCTTGCCATGGTTTGCAGATAAAGGGAAGGAGATTGTATGATAGGCTGATGGCTGTTTTCTGCAGTGCTCAACTTAAAGCTGTGTAGTGCAAAAGAAGAAGGGGAGGAGGAGAGGAAAGAAGAAAAGGACGCGGTGGAGGAGGAAGGAGACAACAGTTGCTCTCAAAGATCCAGCGATCGGCCCATGGCTGCATCAGTCGACCTCGAGATTCTCTGGAACCTGTGAAATGGAAGAGACAAGATATGAATTACACTTTATATCTGATCAGACAACGGAATGGGATTACACTGATTCTGTTTATCTCCACAATGAGAAATCTCTTACAGCTGTTATTGTTCCCGCTGTAAGCTGAGAGCTACTGCAGTGACTCAGGCTCCGGAGAAGAACAACAAGTCTAATAGAAGCAGATAGAGGAAGGGAGTTGGTGATTTAGTCAAGTTGTTCTTCATTACACAAGTTCAGATTGGTCTCTTCCTGAGAGACAACTGATTCAGCACTCGACTCCTTGCATATTTTATCTGCCAGTTCATTAATTTGTCCAATTATGAGACTATTATTTCCAAAAAGGCAACACCTGCTGTCATTCATTACGCCACTTTATTAGAGCCATGGACAGTGGTGCCAGGTAAACACGTCCTGTCCAAAAATAATTAGCTGATGTGATGTGTTAGTTAGAAATAAAAGCAATTCAAACTGCATATTTCACTTTTTGCCAAATTGCTTCTATTACACTTCACCTTCCTTGAGTAGCTTTGACGTTTTAGATTATTAAAATCAATTTTACTTCATTGAAACTTGTGATGTGGAAAATAGTTTCTGCATGGTAAACAAGCTCATTCATATAGAGTTGCCTATTGAAGTGAGATTTGTATGGTTGCAGATGAGCACATTGACTGAATGCAAGTGCAATTTAGGGAGATTGTCGTACATTGTTAACGTCATTGTATTAAAGACAAAAGGTGTTAAGTCTCCCACACTGAGAATGACAATATTGAAGTTGCACTGAATAGGAACAGAATTTGTTAAGAAGCACGTAACTTTCAGTCATTCGCACTATGGAGTTAAACTGACAAAAGCTAAAAAATACATTTGTTGCATATTAATTATCAAAAAGAAAAGATGTGGCCTTTAAATCAGATGTGCTTGCAGAGATTTAGATTAACATGAGAAGAAAAATGGCTTTAAAATGATGTGTGTTATCTTATATAGAATCAAATTCAGACATTACGTGGAACAGTCTTAATGTGTGTGATGAGGTTAAAGAGCTAGTTGAGAATTTAAGTAAACTTGGAGGGATTTTATTAATTGCAGACGAATCCGGTACAATTGAAATAACTGGCGACCACATTTTCAAACACTGAAAAACAGAAAACAAATTATAGAATGCTTTCATAATATTGTCCCTGGAGTGGTACTGAGGAACAAAGATTTTTTTGGGGGGGAAAAATCGTCGCCATCTACTAACTATTCATCCACAATTTTAGTGAAGCTCAGTTCTGATGTTTATGTAGTACTAAAGTAAATACTGTCAGAAGTTGATCATCAACAGTTTCAGCTTTCCACATCATTCCTTTTCTATCACTTAACATTCTAGGGGCTGTGACATGTATTCACAAGAGGACATGGAGGGTATGTGCTTATGACTGCTTTTTAATTTGTTATGAATGATGTGTCATTGGATATGTTAATATATTCATATTTAGATATATTTATGACCATTGCATGGGCATTTTTCAAGCCAGTGTCTATTTTGTATTCTCAACAATGCCAGTCAGTGCCGAGTTCAACCATAGAAATCTGTCAGGTACTCCCTGTCAATCTGGATTAATGTCAATCCACAGATGACAAAACAGTTAACTCCCCTTCAACTTTAACTCCATGTTAATGCTAATATATTTGTTATGCATTGACTGTAATCAGAGCTTTGAACTGTCTCAGCAAAGATTCAAAGGTGTATTTGGACAGCATGACATTTAGCAGATGGCTTGACTCCCAGAGTAAGGGCTATGTATATCACTTGAGGATACTTTGGAAGGTGTTCGAAGTGGGGGAGCGCTGGATGAAGGCTGGAACCTAAAAATGGAATCAACAATAGAGATGAGATGATAAGAGGGAGCACTTTGTGTGGCTCAAGTATTTGCAGTCAGTACTGATACCACAGAGCCAGACACCGTGTTGTGAAAAGTTTAACAAATGAAATAAACAATTCCAAAATGCAGTCTTATCGCACAACCTTTAGGGCTTCCACATAGTTGGTTGTCGCTTTAATAAAATCTTTTAATTCAAAGTTTGACTCAATATCAATTGTGAAGTGTGCAACACTGTCTCCAGGTGAAGTGTTAATCTGGTTCTGACTGGAGGGGAGGCATTTGATATTGTAGAACTATGGGCACCATATTAAATGTCTACAAACTGCTATTGTTCTTTAAAAGACACACATTTACTAAATTACTTATCACAGCAAATTGATTGCTTTTCCAATGAAAGGAAAAGTTACGGATGATAAAGACTTTAATCCAGCAAGTTTTGAAGCTACTTCCAATTTTAAGGTAATATATTGCTTTTATATTTGTAGAAACTATTTTTCTGTACACAGATGCCAGTGTGCCAGAAGCAGAGGGGTCAGAAGATGACAGGGTGTCAATGACACATCCCTTCAGGAATGCACCTCCACCATGACTGCCCCAAACCGGAGGAAGTCAGGAGTTTAGCAGAATAACAAATACAGGTCTGTTTACCATGTGTCTATTTAATGAGTTGATTTAAAAGGGGTAGAATAGAGGACAGTGAGCAGTGATTGGAATGGCTTGAGAGAAAAAGATGAGCATCAGGGCACTATTTCTGTATGATCACAGTTACCTGGTAAATCATATCTGTTGCAGTTTTAGAGATTAACCAGTTACAGAAACCAAATCCTACATCAATAAGAGCGTTTTGATGATAGCAAGCATGTAGACCCACATATATCAGGATTTAGAGCAGTTAATGCAGCAGGTAATAAATTGACTGTTACTTTTCTGTACATGCATTTAGTTGTTTTCTATTGGAGGGTACATCTATTACACAATGAATTTCAACATGAAAAATTAAATTAAAATGATCATCATGATATGTGTGGCACTTTTTTAAAACTAGAAACACTTAATATCACTGAAAGCTGAAGCTTTAAAATAACCATTTCCACCAACATGCGATTGTGTCAGTCCCTCACAGCCAACAGAGGACAACACACTGAACAACCGGTACAACGTGATTAGCCTTGCATCACCGTGCAAACCCCAGCATTGGGGCGGGGCAGTTGACTAAAAATACTTTAAAACTGACACTTTATTTTGCTCAAGCCGGTTAATATGGTTAACATTTTGCACACAGAGTTAAAAAAACAACACAGGATGTAACGTGATGCCCAGAGACAGAACATCAGGTTTAAATAGATTGGAACAATGCAAATTCACAACCTCACATTAATACTAAATAAACTCTTGACATAACCGTTGTCTGCAGTGGGAGCAATAATTAACAGATGCTTATAAACAACAATCATTGAGAAACTACCTGCTACCTGTTGTCTCTCAAAGCTATATGAGAAATGAATATAAAGCCCCAGGCCTAGAGATTTGTTGAGGTAATGTTGTGTTAATTAGAACTGTATTAATATTTGAATTGGTAGCATAAAGTTCATGATTTGTGTTAAGCTGATGGGAGCTCACTTTCAAAGTCAACATATTCATGTATTAAAAAAAAAACACCATACTGCTGCGTTTCTGTTGATTGTAGACAAAGAACTTGTGTAAGAAGCATCTGTCTGATTGGTGAAAAGTACAGCTCCTAATGGGTCAGCCCCCACTCATTTGTAGTGTTGTCCTCCAGGGTCACACTGTTTGACTGCATCTGAGCCCAGTTTACTTCAAGCCAAATCCTAACATGCATCATCTGAAGACACATAAGGCTTGAGACCTTGCAAAATTATAGATAAAAAAACAACAGTTCCGACTAGTAGCAAGCACTTTGGCAAGTTACAGTTACATTCGTAACATACAAACTACAGACAGCAGCTCTTTTCTACTATTTTGATGTTTTGCAAATGTATCTGCAATTTACAAGTGACAGTCACTCGTCAAACGTGACTGCCATTTGCAATCAGAATGCGAGCAGTGCTTGCAAATCACTTTTGTGAAGCAGGTTTCAGTTCTGAAATTCTAATATTTTATAAATGATTCAATAAGTATGTTGGACAGTGATCTGATCTGAATGTAAATTATTAGAATTTACAAACACTTGTTTTATATGTACTGGATGTAAATAACGGACAATCGGATATGAACATGGTTCTCTAATGAGTACCACACTGGTTGTTTGAATGAATGAATCTGTGATTCATTTAATCTGCATGATCCTATTATACATTTTCACATGATGTCCATGGATTCTCAAGGCCATAGTAAATTTGGGACTGCAAAACATCAGCTGTATATGCGCATGATCTGTACATTTCTAGGTTTATGGTTAGACAGTTGAATAGTTATTGAATTGATATGTTGATAGTGGCCAACCTGCCCCCAGTGTCCAGTCAAGGCTCCAGTGGACTGTGGAAAATACATTTTCCTTAAAACAACCAAACACCCTCTTTGTCAGGTCTGGTTTAATTCAATTGTGTAGATTCTCAAAACCATCTTGATATCATTTACCACCAAAAGGCTTGTCTCTTATGGCACAGCACTTCTTTCTGTCTCTTCTTTCTGTCTCGTTTTATCTCAGCCTGGATCAAATCTCACTCCGCCTCATCCTGGCAGCTTGTAACTTCACCTCGTACCAAACAGCGTCCAGGGAAAACTACCCAGGCCTCTTTCACCAGACAAGTCTGACAGTAATGAAAGGAATAGAGCTTTAACAGAGGATAAACGGCTGCCCTTTATTGACAGCTTCGCCTCATCTATCTCTGCCCCAGACACACACACCCCCCTCCCACTACCACCACACACACACACCCAACCAACCCCACCCTCCTCCTCCTAACCTGCCATGAGGTAGTCTGATCAGCCAGCACGCAGCGCTCTGCTGGAGCTTCCTGTTCATGTCAAGCCTCCCCTCATTATTAAAACAGAGCACCGGTCCCTACCTCCAACCCTAAAACACACACACACATCCCCACAGTCCTCGATCGATCTTTGTGTTTGAGGGGCTAACAGACAGAGAGCAGCTATTAACACACTTTCATC